TGTCTGACAACTGACAGCTACCTACTGGGAGTGATGAGCTTCCATGCTTCAGTGAGCTCCGTCTTTGGTGATATTTTAGATCCTGCATCAATTTTACAAGCAAGACCCCAATAATTACCTAGGTGTTGAGTTTTTTTCTGAAGAACATGTGAAATGTTAAGTACTTCAGAAGCTTTCAGTCCCCACTTCCCTGCTGAGAAAGGATGGGTTTTCTCTGGAGTTTTTTCCTGAAATTGGTGTAGAGTAGGAACATAGTTCTCAGTGATGCTGTATCGTATAACATTTGGCTAAAGCTCTGGGGCTATTTCTGCTAACTACAACAGGAGTTACAGTGTCAGGGCCTGTCTATTATATGTTCTAATAAAATAACTAGTAGTCTGATGCAGACTACACGAATAACAGAGATTTGGAAACTTTCACCTAATTTATGGTGTATATATTAAAGAATGAGCTCTGGGTTTAACAGAGATTACACAGGGATTATAAAATGTAGAAACTGTAGTTGCAAAAAGCAGTTTTATTCAGCAGCAGATTACTGTCATTTTACTGCACACTTATGAAAAACTAGAGTTTCTAGTTAAAAGAATACAGAAAAAAAGACTCATTTAATATGTAAACATCAGCCTATATAGAAATACAGCATTTCAGTTAAAAAAAAGGTGAAAAAGCATTTATTAATGCATTTGAAATTAATATAATTTGCATAGTGTCACCAAGCTGTCTACAGTCTCTTAAAAATATCTAATTTAGAGAGGCCCCTGCACTTGGCAAGCCATCCAGTGAATAATATAAACCAATCCAGACAATGGGTAGCTGATATACAAGTGTAGCGATGGTACAAACGTGCTATTCCATCCATGATGGGAGGCTAAGCAAAAAGAAACATTACTTATGGTGGAGGTGTATAATATATGACTTTCTGAAGTGAACAAACAGAACATTATTCATAGACCCGTGTATGACCAAGGACACTTGTTTCACTTGTATCTTGCAAATTATGGCTTTACCTGTTCTGTTGATGCTGTTCTGCAAAAGAAATCTGCTTCAGCCTATTGATTAATTCATTCTGCACTAATCTGGGAATAGTGAATTGTGCATCTGCATAATTAAAATTGAATTATACAGATGGGTGTGAGTGATCCTTCCCCAAAACAGACAACAGAAAGAAACATTAGGATCCTGTTTTATTTTAAAATATGAAGAATTTTAGGGCAAATAAAACAAAACCCAAGCAGTAAAACAAAACACAAAAAAAGGTATTAAAATGGAACGAGGAGAGGAAGCAAGAAGATAAATATTCTGTGGAATATTGATTTTTACACACAAAGAAGAGATCACACAGGGTAGATAGTATTTAAGAAAGAAGACAGTAGAAAAGAAATGCACTTCTATCAGTCCCTTAAGGAAGCTGCAGTCACCTAAGCAGAAACATAAAAAGGACTAGAAATATCTTCCCTGGTAAAAGGTATCCTGAGAGAAGGGCTGGGCAATATGTTTTGTATTTCTGTGATAATTTACTTTGGGGTTGGGGGTGAAAATTTCATTGGGTTTAGGAATTTCCTTTTTCTCCACTTGAATATGTTTCAAAACAAATGAACACATGATTAAAGGAGATAGAATTTGATATACTTTGAATATAAATCACCTTTGGATGTTTAAAATGAAAAAACCTTCCGGTTCTAATCTTACTATGTTTCTTTCTATTTTTTACTGTTTTTTTCCTGAGGCTGTTTACTCTGGAAGTATTAGAGAGGTTAATGAAACATTTTAAACAGGCAGGATCCATGCTTCTCTCCTTAGAAGGGGGCTTCTTTTTCTGGCTGATACTTTTTTTTGGATCTTGCTTTCTGACTAAGGTAGTGTTCACCAGCAGGAAGGAGTTAAAGGATACCCAAACAACTCAGGATATATCTGTCTGTCAAGGCTAATCTTGAGGTAGAAGCAGTAAGAGGCTTCGGAAGGAAGGTGGCGGCATTTATTTTGCTTCTTTGTAATTATCAATAGAGAATGACTGGGCCTGAGCTGTCAATAAATATGAGAGGCTTATTGGGTGGTATAATCAAAACCTATGCAAGAGAAGACAGAGATATTTCAGAATGACGAGCTTGTGCATCTCCATTGGGAGCTCCCAAACTCCATGGCTCCACAGCAGAACAGGGTGGCAGTCTGTGGTTGGCCTTTGATGCATAGCTAAATAGTCCTGAAAATAATTTTAAAAATGGTAGATAAGGGAGACAAGTCTCTTTCTGATAACTCTTGTACTATTTCCATGCCTAAGGTGCTTGTCCACATAGGAAAAGCCTGGATAGAGTAGATATAACAGGAATCTCTTCTCAAAGTAGAAAGTGGCTATAGAATGGCAAATTGATTTGATACTGATGCTAAATTTCTACTCAATCATAAGCAAGGCTTTACATGTATTCTCCATGCTATACAAGGCTGGGTGTTAATTTTTCTCATTCTTGCCTCGTGTTGTTGCGGTATGAAATAGCTTGTTACATAACTCGCATGTTCTAAGTCTGCCACGTTTATTGTTTGCTGCCATGCATTCTGATTTTGAGTAAGAAATTGGAAACAGCTTCAGTTTATATTACTGTCTTTGACAAATTTACAGACTTATACATGATACCATGGATTCACGAGTCAGCCTTTGCTGTAAGAGTATAATGACTCCGTTTAGGCCTGGGAGCCAGAGAGCTAAATATAGTACGTAAATAGCGTTAGAGCCTGGTACAGCTGGGAAAAAAAAAATCCATTTCAGGCCTTACGAAAGGTCAGTTTGGAACAGAGGTGCCTGGAGTGCAGAAACACTTGCCTGACCACTAACTTCACTCTGTTGTCATTTGAGAAGTAGCACTGTGGAGCTGGTGGGGACAGAAAAAAGAGCAGGAAGGTATGACAGGGAGAGGAAGAGATGGAAGAAAGGGGCACTGAAGAGGAATTGATCCTCAAGTCTCTTAGCTGGTTATTTCGGGCACTAGTGCAGTGTGCGGGCTAGAAGATAAACAGTCCTGCGGGACAGTGGTGTTGTAGCACTGCAAATATCTGGGCTACCAGCCCTGAGCTATGCACCAGCTTTCCCCGACTCCAGTCTTAGTAGGAGAGCAGAGACTCCACACTGTCCCCATCTTTGTCTCTGTGGAGATACTACCCACCCCCAGCTTTTAGTTTTGGAGAGCCTCTGTAATACTGTTGTAAGGCAGTCTCCTCCACATGATAAACATAATAAGAAGCACTGGGGCTGAGGGCAGCCTTTTTATTGTGTTACCCTGCCTTCCTGAAAAATGCTCCAGCAAAGCTGTTGGAGGAGTTCAGCCTGTTGGAGGGGAGCATCCTCAAGTGGTGCTGTTCCATATACAAAAAAAGTTGCAGTATATCAAACTGTCCCAGTTGCAATACAGGGTCCCATGCTGAGACAATAAAATAGCATATGGCTCTAGCCATATGTATTTCATTTTTATGGTCAGTTTGTGATGCCTTCACTATTTGCAGATAGATTGTGGATGTCTCAGCCCCATTAACTCAACTGATACTGTTTAATAAAAATGCTTCTGAAAATATTTTTCAAAATTGGAGCACTCTTTCAAACAGCAGAGTTAAAACATGAAATAGCTATCGTTTTCCTGCTATTAGCTTTGTTTTTCAGCCTAGAACAGGCAGCTGGCAAGAGCAAATTTTTCATGTGTGAAAAGGCAAGTCACCCTCACTCCATCTCTGTCAGTGATTGCCACTGGCTGCTATATAGTTGTGTAGCACCAGCGAAGCCAGGACAAGGTATTACAGTGTCTGCTTCAACTAAGTCCTGCTGAAGACTATTATGGAGTGATATAGTCCAACTGCTGTGGGACAGGAAAGCCATCTCACCTCATCCTTTTAGGGTAGATGAAGGAATGGGGGCAGGTATGACAACACACACTTCTATTTTGTCTTGATACCAGGGTGCCTCTGGGAGAAGAGATGTTTACTTCATAGACCCCAACTCTGCAACAGCAGCAAGACTTTTTGCAAGGCCCCATCACAGGGGTCAGAGAGGAAATAGCTGACAAAAAAAGTCCTTTGGATTACATGCAGAAGTGCTGACATGCTTCCAAAGAGAAGATGCTACATACATGATCAGTTTATGCTATTGATAACAACACTGATTGACAACTGGGTCTATGTTCTGAATAATGACAACAGCTCCCTTTCAGAGCTTTATTAAAACTTCCTTTCTAGGTAAGCAACTGTTTATCCTGAACAAAGTTTCTGGAATATTAGCAGATGTACAATGAAAGACATAGTTAACTTCCACCTGAACTGGAGCCATTACTAGGAAACTATCATCTTGTTGAGTGTGTACAAACTCGGCATACTCTGTGCAAATTCTTTATTGAAACAATGATCAATTTACAAACTGGATCACATTTCATTTTGCCACTTCAGCATGAACTGGTCTCTTTGTGGTTTACGGCTGTGAACTATAAAATCATAACAGTTATTTAAATCAAAATACAGTAACTGCTTCTCAAAAGAACACATTCATATTTGTCTTACATTTCTTGTAAAATCAAAAAGAATTTCATAATAAATGAAATATAACTTATGATACTCTAGTGCAAGCATTTCCTTTGCATCTAAGAAGCTTTCAGTTGTCCCACTAAGTATGGCATACTTAAGAGGCCAACTCTTAAATAGCATGCTGCCAAGATATTCCATGAGAACTTTTAAAATTCGACACTTTTAACACTTTCCAGAATTAGTTGATCTGAACCAAATTGAATGTCAGAAAGCCCTGGTTATATATTACAGTATTTTTGTCAAAAGAGAACTGCAAATCAAGGAACTGACACAGTATGTACATTAGAATAAAACAGGCACTGATTTAAAAAAAATCAACATCTGCCCGTATATGCCATTCAGCAACTCTTATGATTATACAGTAATTTTTAAGCACAGGAGTGAACTGCTGTGCCTTACCTAATACCAATAAAACTGCACAAAAATGCTGATCTATGTTTTAAAAATTTTTTTAAAATTACAATCTCAAAAATTTACCGAACGGTAGGTTCCATCACAAGCATACTCCAATCAGAGAACAAAAAAGGATCAGCAGTAAACAAATGCTGCTCAAAAAGAAAATGTTGTGTAAGTAGATAGCGAGAACTATGTTCAAGTGGTCTGATGAAGATACTTACATTTAGTGAAAAAAGAATAGTAAGTGTGCAATTCAAATCCAACACTGATTGCTTGTGCTGCAGAAATCTAGTCATGTTTCATGAAATTTTGGCAAAAATATTTTAAAATGGTGTAAATATATCCTGCAAATAGCTTTTCCTTTCTAAGTCTGGCTTGATGTTTCTTAGGCTGTTAGAAAACAAATTCAGTCGGACTGGATTTTCCAGATTCTGAGTGTTTTAGTGATGTAATTAGCATTTGGTGGTACAATAAATAGAACAGTAACAAAAGGTGTGCAGTACTCTAATGATGGGAACAGATCACTCTAATGCCCCTGAAGTGCTAAAGGTGCAAGAAAATGCATAACAATGCAAATGTTAACGTTTTCTTAGAGCCACATTAATTTTATATTTGTCAATTGTGTTCTTGCACCATGAAATAGCCATTCCCTAAGAAATACTGCAAGACAGAATTGTTTATTTTATAATAGCGCAGCCAGAAAGTTTGGAACAGGAAAGATGGGTTTAGGTCTTGCTTCCCAACTACCTCCCACAAAGGAAGTGCCTGAAAGCATGTTAAAAGCTTTAGACTTACAGCTGTTATATAACGGATGCATAAAGATACTGAGCAGCATACCTGAAAATAGAAAAAAATACATAAACCAGAACCATTACAACCTGCATTTTCTTCAGATACAGTGCTGTTCTGCTTTTATTCCAATAATACCACAAAGCTAAACGTCCAAAGAATTTATAGCAGACTGGCTGGACCAGTCCTACCTGTAAACTCTCAGCTCTGAGTCCAACTCCATGCAAAGTTAAGATTTCCCTTGACCTTGCAACAGCAGGAATTCAGCATTACAGCTATTATGCACATCTAATCCAAGTAACTGTTGCTTACATGTGGCTTGCAATACACATTTGTATGTACTTGAAATACATGCTCTTTGTGAGCAATCTTTGGAAAAAAACATAATCTGTACCTTCAAGGAAGTTTACACAGAGATACTGAAGAAAACCATGAGGAATGTTTTCTCTCAAATGCTTCTCAATAAATAAATAATAAACAGGCAGGACAGCCAAAGGGCAGCAGTCAGGATCAGAACTGCCTGGTACCAGTCACCATATGAATATACAAAGGGATCTGGTCTCTACTGTAAAAAGTTTATAATTAAAAACCAATCAAAATACTGTAGTTTAAATAATTTTTAAACTTTTTAATTTTAAAGTGTAATTTAAAAGATATTTTTATGCTTTCAAGGAGAACATCCTTGCTTATCTGTGCAATCTTAGTTGGGCACCTGGCAGGTAACTTTAGAATGCATGAGCATTGTCTGTAAATGCTGGACAGGCAGAAAAATCAAGATGCCTGTTTTCAGGAGGTTAATGTGAATTAAAAGAATTTAGTGCAAGTTCCAGCTTTTGTTTCTGCCCTCATCCTTTTTCATACCAGAAGCAAATTAATTAACTTGAAAATCTGATGTGAACACTGAACAGAAATATACTTTGGATTCAGACAAGAAGTTAACAGTTTGCATCAGTAGTATTTTCAATAACACTGGTCAGAAGTGAGGTTCTTTGTGGTATTCTCTTAATCTACCCTGTGTTCTAGATTTATATTGCTTCACTGAAACTAAAATATTTCCAGCCACATTCCTAAAGGGACTGCCCTTGCATGTTTCCTTTTGGGCATGTGCAAATGCATTTTGTGTAGATGCCTGCCACTGTGGTGAGCACAAACGTCAGGTAACTAAATGCTGTCCTTATCACAAGTTGGTTGCAAAATCTGAAGTCTCTTATTAAACATGTAAATTTTTTTTAATAACCACAGACAGGTAAATATAGCCTTCTCTCTGCATCACCTACGTAAGTCACGGGGTATTCCTGTATTACACTGCTAGTGAAGCTCTGCATTTTAATATGAGGAACTTGACCTAAAACTTCAGTTCATTATCAAGGGGTTTTTTTGATAGCTGCAACACTGACTTTGTTTGGTCTCAATTACCCGTGCAGTTAATATACCTGATTGCCTCCAACGGACACCTTATGTGTGGCTACTTCAATAAAATGTCCAGAGAGCCATCCACACATCATCTTCCCATAGACCTAAGCAACTTCTTTTTCTGCAATATACTCGATTCCAGATTTATTTTGAGTATCTATACTAACACTACAGTCCTTCTTAAAAACTATAAGGTGATAGTTCATTAGTTCCAAACTAAATGTATCAGGTAATTAAGTAACATGCTATTAATCCTACATGAACTCCTCCTTGTAAGTGCTTTCTTTCCAGACTCACTGCAGAGAAGGTCCTTTTCATTGTCTGTCTGCAATAGAAATTATCACTTCCCTTCCACTCCTGGCATTTCCTGGCATAAATGTTGATCCTTTTTAATGCCACAATCGCTGTGATCATTAAAGCTTTACTGGGGTAGAGTCACATGTACTTGAGCAGTGAACATCCTACATAGGTAGGAGATTCTTAAAATACCAAAGCAATTATAACACAGTAAACAGTTTGTGTGATCGTCATTGTAATTTCACAGGACACTTGATTATAATTTTTTTTTAGTTTGGATAAAACACTCTGAAACTTATGCTTATAGATTCATTTAGGCTTGGTCTTCAGAATATGAATCTACACAACACTGAGAATCCAAGTAAAAAGGTATTCTGCCATTTCAGCCTTTTCAACAGCTGATTACTGGTGTTTGTAGGACTGTTAAGGAACCTGCTTATCTTCTAGTAAGGTAGTGCATACTTACTCCTTACCAAATTATTAAAAAACAAGACATCTTGCATATTTACAGCTGTTTTCCATATAAACTTCTGGCAAAGTAAAAAATGGTCAAATATATGCAAAAAAACCCTGCAGAGCTGCTGGACTGCAACTTTCTGTAAGATGTTTACAGACTTTCCTATCTGTAAAATACACCTCAAAGTTGGTTCTCAATGTGAAAAAAACAATTGTTGGCATCTTCATTCCATGGAAAAGGGAAAACTATTTCCCATGTGCCTATGCAGTGTCATCTCAAATTAAATTGAAACATTTTAACTTTCTTTAATAGCCCTCTAAATCGCAATGCAGCTGAGCAAACAGGCTTTGTAAATGGGTTCTGTTAGGATTTTATTTGGCTACTGGAGTGCTGCCTCTTGGGCAGTATTTCAAATTCACAAGATAATATTTGCAAAAATGCAAGAGATGAAAATAATAATGAGAGTGAAGGAGGAAAATGAAAACCAGTTTTATGTTTAGTAAGTTCAAGTGTCCTATATCAAAGACTACCAATGACTTCCAGGAGGCCACTACAGGTGACTCCAACCTAGAAAATGCTGAGGTAAATGTTTCTTGGAAATACTCCTAATTGAAAAGAGCAATTAATATTAATGTCATAGCAATTAATCTGCCATACATCATGGTAAACTAAAGTCAAACTGAGAAGAAAGTGCCAAATAATCCATATACATGCTTTTGCTATGATAGTCTCCAGGTAAGGCTTAGCGGCAAGTACAATATGTATTTTTAAAAGAGCTCCACCTGATTTTCCTGCTATGCATAGATTCAGGAGTAACTGTCATACATGGCTTTCATATATAACGCATGTATTTTTGTCATTTGCCAATGCTGTGTCATCAGAACTGAGTTCAGCAGAAGGCTCAGGAGGGGGCTCTGCAGGAAGTGCTGGTGTTTGAGGAGTGTCTTCCTCCTTGGTGTCCAACTGCATGCTTTCTTGTGACTGACCGTCCATGCAGTCCTTTTTGGACAATGGGTGAACTGACACTTTTATTGCAATCTGTTGAGGTGGCTCGTGAAGTGACGATGCATCAGAGTCAGCTGTGGGAGAGTCACTGCGCTTCAAAGCATTCGGGATCATATACAGCTCATCTGTTTCAGTGGTTTCCTGGCCTTCTGCTGTCTGCCGTACAAAATTCTGTCCTTGCTCCTCCAGACCGACAACCTCCATAATTTCTTCCATTATAGTCCTGCAGTTCATGATGAGAGGTGGCAAAGGTACACTCCGAGCAAGCTCTTCAATATAGCGAGCAAATTCCATGGTCTTGAACTGGGTTACTTTGGCAAGCTCAAGCGTTTTGGCTGAAGTGATAATTGGGATACGCTTTGCAATCTCAAAGGCTTTCTGGAGTTTCTCTGCCCCTTCTGTTCTGAAGAATTCATTGATTGCTTTCTCTGTTTTCTTCAGATGACTGCTCATCATACATAACCGAGTAATGTTTAGTATCATAACAATGGTAAAAGCTACAAGGCAGACAATCATGTAATAGATTCCCATATCTCCGGAGGTAAAAACAACCCTCAGTGTCACGGTATTGTTAATACTGCCATACGTATTAGATGCGACACACGTGTATTTACCTCTATCTTCAAAAGACACGCTGGTAATGTTTAGTAGCCCACTGTCAAGAAACCACCATTTTCCTGCCGGAGAGAAGACAGAGTAATTTAGGTAGAAGTATTTTGTTCACATGATCAGCACAGTCTTAAACATCAGTTTTGCCAAACTGGCTTCAGATTTTGGAAGCAGGAAATAATACTCACAAGAACACAAAGAATTTACCATCAGAAAGGCCTGTCTGTCCCTGAGATCCTAGCTGTGTTACTATCAAATCCCTGACATCAACTGTGAATAACTGGATTGTACCCTAAAAGAACCTTACAAAAAAATGTTAATATGCATGACTTCTATCACAATCCTATGGTCAATTAAGTTATAAAGATATAATTACTTACCCCAGAGAGCCTCCCAAACACATGCCACACTTCCTCAAAGAACAGTAACAATGATTGCGAGGCAGAAAAACCTACTTAAGCCCCCTTTTGTTCCCTGACAATTCATTTTCTTACAAATGGATTATTTTTAGTGTTTTGTTACATTATCTCATATAATTCTCTTAATGTCAGGTTTAAAAACCCTAACATTTCAGACATCATATACTACACTGCCTGCTCTCTGAGATGTTCAGAATCTAATTTTGAAGTATTTTAAAAAAGGGCAGTAGGACAGGAGCAGTAAAATGGATGGGAAAGTGAAGAGCCATGACCAATTAAGAGAACACCTTGTTTGCCAATTTGAACTCCTACGCAACATGATGGAACTTCTTTTAAAAGTCATTTCTATCAGTGTAATATAATCGGTATCTTTGGTTGCTACATGTACATGTAATGTTTCATATCCTTTGAACTTGGCACAGCATAACAATTTAGCTACTAAACTGAGTTTGAAATAGCATGTTAAAATCCAGTGCTCCTATCACTGTTAAAGTGATTCAAAATTCAGCTAGTTACTGTTTGCCGTTACATATTGGTAATGAATTAGGTTTTTAGTTCACCAAGTAAGTTTCATTTTTATTCAAATATCACTATCGTGCTATTTGAACTGAAGATGTATATTTTTTGCTTTATTTGGTGCGATATGACTTATTAAATTGCAAGTTTGCTATAAAAATCATGTTTCAAGTCCAATAGAAAATCCTGGTGTCAATTCTTTTCTTCATGTAAACCCACCCCTGGAAGTGTTCACATGGTGGAGAGAACAGCCAGAAGGTGTAGGAGTGCCTCTGTGCCTTCTGAACACTTCATACAGGGAGATGTCATACAGAAGATTTCCTTTTAAAACAATGACATAGGCTGATGTAAGCCAACATACTGCTGCTCAGAGGCAGACTCAACTGTTTTTAATCTCTGTAACACAATCCCAAACCATTCCTGACAGGTATCTGCTAAAGGCAGGAATGGAATTTCAATAATCTCCCACAGGAAGGAATTTCAGGTGTTCACCTGTCTTTACTTAATCAGAAAGTTGTTTTTCCTTAAACCTAACCTAAGCATCTGCAATTTAAGTTTATTAAGACAGATGAGCAAAGACACAGAATCTGTGATTAGAGGACTAAAAACTGTGCAAAGCCCTTGTGCAATGCATGTAAATCACAAGGCAAAGAATGCAGTCCTGGTTGATTGCAACCCTGATTCTTCATGCATTTTATCCTTTCTATGAAAGTTTTTTTGTTGTTAAAAAGGTTATTCTATTTGTTTATTTCTTTCAAGGAAGAATCTGTGGGCTATTCTGAAACTCATTAGTCAAAAAAGCCTTTAATTCAGAGTAGTTATAGGCTTTTACCAATGTGAAAGTTCTTCTAATTAAACATGGCTCATCCAAATAGTTTTTCACAGTATCTCCAGTAAAAGTCTATGTAGAATGTATTCCCACAAGGTCTCTGCCTCTGTTCTTGTACAGACAGTTCTTAATTACATCTTTTTATCCTCTTAGAATTTTTAACTTTTAACACTATTTTTTGCCTTAGCTTAATTCTTGAAAACAGCTGAATCACTTTGCCTGAAATTAAGAAATATAGAAAAAAATTAAAATCTCAGTCTAAAGCAGACCTTTACATACAAAAATCACCCCAATCTGCTAAAGTTAGGCAAATTCAGAGGAAAACACTTTTACAGAGGTAATGTCAGCATCTGTAACAGATGAGACTTCTTTCTCCACCTTTAGAATAAGAAAAAATAGAGTATTGGCTGGTCAATATTTATTTGAATTGCAATGTTGTCAAAGTAGGTCTTTATTAATTGTAAAATGACAAGATGCCTTGCTGATGTATCCTGGTTCCAGCTGTTAAAAATGACATAATGGCATTGAACTGTGACTCAGTGACTGGCTCTGTGCCAGTGGATCCTGGCAGACAGTATAAGCCTAATGAGAAAACAATGATTAGAAAAGGTATCATTGCTGGGTTTTGATAACAATTCAATGCCATACTCAACATAACTATATACATAGTAAAGAAAGGTCTTGTGCTAGGAAACATTTCTTAGAAGAAGACAGTCAGTTTCTTAAAGGAAAAAGTGCACTGTTGAAAGTCTAACTTAAAGTGGTGTTGCAAATACATCTGCAGCTTTTACTGATTTGCTCAAAGTTTTTGCTCACTTACCTAAACATTTATGTTAGTAGCTACCTCTCTCAGTTGACTATACAAAGACTTAAAGTTAGATGCTTAACTAAAGGGGAAAATTTCTGTTAGTGAGCCTTAGTAAAACACTCTAGTGTGCTAATCACAGTATGTTGCCATGACTGCACAAATTCTATCTGAAAGTGTGTTTACTAGTTCAAGTAGTTCCCTTCTCTAGCTTTACTCAGAAAATGATAAAATACTGTAATGCAAAATATAACCATTTATGCAGTAAGCTTTTTACAGATACACTATGCTGTTGCACATCCAGCTGGGTCAATCATTACTCCAATCATTAACAGAGTTCTCCCTCAGGTCAACTATTAGTTAGGCAAGCTATCTTGCATTTAGTGTGAATAACTAAGGGTTTATTTCATCATGCTGTGAACAAAGCAGTCGCTATGGAAGGATTACATGAGCAAACAGGCTTTGTAAATGGGTTCTGTTAGGATTTTATTTGGCTACTGGAGTGCTGCCTCTTGGGCAGTATTTCAAATTCACAAGATAATATTTGCAAAAATGCAAGAGATGAAAATAATAATGAGAGTGAAGGAGGAAAATGAAAACCAGTTTTATGTTTAGTAAGTTCAAGTGTCCTATATCAAAGACTACCAATGACTTCCAGGAGGCCACTACAGGTGACTCCAACCTAGAAAATGCTGAGGTAAATGTTTCTTGGAAATACTCCTAATTGAAAAGAGCAATTAATATTAATGTCATAGCAATTAATCTGCCATACATCATGGTAAACTAAAGTCAAACTGAGAAGAAAGTGCCAAATAATCCATATACATGCTTTTGCTATGATAGTCTCCAGGTAAGGCTTAGCGGCAAGTACAATATGTATTTTTAAAAGAGCTCCACCTGATTTTCCTGCTATGCATAGATTCAGGAGTAACTGTCATACATGGCTTTCATATATAACGCATGTATTTTTGTCATTTGCCAATGCTGTGTCATCAGAACTGAGTTCAGCAGAAGGCTCAGGAGGGGGCTCTGCAGGAAGTGCTGGTGTTTGAGGAGTGTCTTCCTCCTTGGTGTCCAACTGCATGCTTTCTTGTGACTGACCGTCCATGCAGTCCTTTTTGGACAATGGGTGAACTGACACTTTTATTGCAATCTGTTGAGGTGGCTCGTGAAGTGACGATGCATCAGAGTCAGCTGTGGGAGAGTCACTGCGCTTCAAAGCATTCGGGATCATATACAGCTCATCTGTTTCAGTGGTTTCCTGGCCTTCTGCTGTCTGCCGTACAAAATTCTGTCCTTGCTCCTCCAGACCGACAACCTCCATAATTTCTTCCATTATAGTCCTGCAGTTCATGATGAGAGGTGGCAAAGGTACACTCCGAGCAAGCTCTTCAATATAGCGAGCAAATTCCATGGTCTTGAACTGGGTTACTTTGGCAAGCTCGAGCGTTTTGGCTGAAGTGATAATTGGGATACGCTTTGCAATCTCAAAGGCTTTCTGGAGTTTCTCTGCCCCTTCTGTTCTGAAGAATTCATTGATTGCTTTCTCTGTTTTCTTCAGATGACTGCTCATCATACATAACCGAGTAATGTTTAGTATCATAACAATGGTAAAAGCTACAAGGCAGACAATCATGTAATAGATTCCCATATCTCCGGAGGTAAAAACAACCCTCAGTGTCACGGTATTGTTAATACTGCCATACGTATTAGATGCGACACACGTGTATTTACCTCTATCTTCAAAAGACACGCTGGTAATGTTTAGTAGCCCACTGTCAAGAAACCACCATTTTCCTGCCGGAGAGAAGACAGAGTAATTTAGGTAGAAGTATTTTGTTCACATGATCAGCACAGTCTTAAACATCAGTTTTGCCAAACTGGCTTCAGATTTTGGAAGCAGGAAATAATACTCACAAGAACACAAAGAATTTACCATCAGAAAGGCCTGTCTGTCCCTGAGATCCTAGCTGTGTTACTATCAAATCCCTGACATCAACTGTGAATAACTGGATTGTACCCTAAAAGAACCTTACAAAAAAATGTTAATATGCATGACTTCTATCACAATCCTATGGTCAATTAAGTTATAAAGATATAATTACTTACCCCAGAGAGCCTCCCAAACACATGCCACACTTCCTCAAAGAACAGTAACAATGATTGCGAGGCAGAAAAACCTACTTAAGCCCCCTTTTGTTCCCTGACAATTCATTTTCTTACAAATGGATTATTTTTAGTGTTTTGTTACATTATCTCATATAATTCTCTTAATGTCAGGTTTAAAAACCCTAACATTTCAGACATCATATACTACACTGCCTGCTCTCTGAGATGTTCAGAATCTAATTTTGAAGTATTTTAAAAAAGGGCAGTAGGACAGGAGCAGTAAAATGGATGGGAAAGTGAAGAGCCATGACCAATTAAGAGAACACCTTGTTTGCCAATTTGAACTCCTACGCAACATGATGGAACTTCTTTTAAAAGTCATTTCTATCAGTGTAATATAATCGGTATCTTTGGTTGCTACATGTACATGTAATGTTTCATATCCTTTGAACTTGGCACAGCATAACAATTTAGCTACTAAACTGAGTTTGAAATAGCATGTTAAAATCCAGTGCTCCTATCACTGTTAAAGTGATTCAAAATTCAGCTAGTTACTGTTTGCCGTTACATATTGGTAATGAATTAGGTTTTTAG